ATGCGTTGTGCAGAAGTGTGTGCGCCCCGCTTAAGCCCTAGAGCATGCGCATGTGACCCCAGAGCCTAGTGCGTGTACATACGTATGCGCTCCTAAATGCCCACAATAGGTGCGTTCGGGAAGACGCTATTATGCTGCGTTCCCACTACACGCGTCGCGCGTTGCGTCACGACGCCGCGTCATGAGTTATCCAATCAAAACGTTTTATTTTATGACGTCATTTCCAACGCAAGATCTTGTCGGAAATGACGTCATAAAATGAAACGTTTTGATTGGATAACTCATGACGCGGCGTCGTGACGCAACGCGCGCGACGCGTGTAGTGGGAACGCAGCATTATGCTTACGCATTATACGTTGTGCAGAAGTGTGTGTCCGGGCCCTTACAAACAGCTGAATCGAGCAACGCGATTGGTCGATACCTTCAGATACCTTACTGTTACGTTCTATGAAGTGTGTGTGCCCTGCTTTAGTGCTTGCTGCGCATGCGCCAAGTTCATCATATATTTCCCAATATCCTCGGATCAGTTTGGGCGCGTAAATACACGATGTCAGCTGTGCTGAAACTGCTGAAACAAGTTACTGAACAGAGTAGTTGCACGTAGTGTATTCACTGTATTCTTTCATATTCTGTATTCTGTTCTGTGTGTTTAAAAAAAGAAACCATATATGTGGATTCTATATTTTGCTACATATAATTCCTGTTTTGGTTTCACTAAAAGAAACTAAAATCTCACACGTTTTCGATAATGGCATGTATCGTATCTCCTCCAGTGGTTACTGATCTCACAGATGCTTATTCAAGCAAGGAAGATTTTAATGGGAAAGATCATGATGAATCGGATATCTCTAAAAATATTCAAAAGCTCAATGACGAACAAGCACATGGTCAAGAACGTGAGGAAAATATTGAAAAAAGCTTAGGAGATGTCGTTTGTGACATGTTTATGCCATCAAATGAAGAGAGCTGTTATAACCAGGAGAAGTTGGAAAATGAAGCTTCCAATATCGTAATTGACAAAATTTATCCAAGCGATGGAATCAATCTGAATGAATCCAGTAAGAAAAACGAATTACAAATTGATGATAAAAAATCCTGCGATACAGATAATAATAGTACTGTTAAAAAGATTTTGAAGAGAGCTTTAAGTCTTGCGGACAGTGATTCTGAAGAAACGAATTTTTATGAAACATTAAACAAAGATTCTATTGATGAAGATGAATATCGGTCTGGATCGCCTGAATATTCGCAGATTGCAGAACCGAACAATTCAAAAAATAGGAGGAGAATAATAGACAGCGAATCTGAAGAAGATACACAAACAAGCGAGGGTAACAACTTTTCTCAAATGGTTCACGAAACTATAAGCACTACTGTAAGTAACCATATTACATATAATAAGCATTGTAATTATTGTTATAATTTTAAAGTAATATATAAGACATACAAAGTATACAAAGTTTTTAAAATATATCTTTGTTACAGGCTGAAAGCTATCGGGGTTTAATAGATTCTGAATCAGAGGAAGAGAAGCAAAATGAAACAGAAAACGACACTTCTGTCATACCTGAGGAAACATCAGAAAGTAAGGATGCTAAGAAAAAATTGGTTAAAAAGAGAAAGGTATTTATAGCTCTTGGAAATATATTTTTTAACTTCCTATCAGTTCATCTATGCTGTAATCATTTTAATAACTTATAAAAATTCAATTATGATAGCTATCATAATCACAAATCTTGAGTTGCAATAATATAGCTGCTATTGCATTTATATTAGCATTTATTAGAAGATAAAATCTTTTTTACTAATGGCAATATTTTTATTTTATAATATAGGGCTCCATAAGAGCTTCCAAAGATGAGGCAATGCGTCAAATACATAGCGAAACCCAACGTTTATTAAGAGAGACAGAAGTTTCTTTACCATATCATAGGCCAAAACAGCGTACATTACAAGAATTCTTGAACAGAAAAAAAATATCAGCTGCTCTTCCAAAAGCACCTTCAACAGCTGCAAAACTTAAGATGTCGTCTGCGATAGTAAGGTAAGCATTTGTATACATAGATTATAGATAAATTATAGATAAGTTGATATATGTATATAGATTTTACAAAATTACATATGATTTTGTACAGTCGGGTCCTTGCAGAAAAGGAAAAAGAAGCAGAACTTTTTTACAAATCCTCAGATTCTGAAGATGATATGCAACAATCAATGTCTTTTGTTAGCAAAGATATGAAAAAATCTTTCATTACCAACGAGAGAGAGAAGCTACCTTCGATAGATATCGATCATATATGTATTCAAGGTCCTGAAAGGATTGGAACAAGCACTCAAGATTCTCAAGATAATGAGAAAGAGATTGTACAAGAAGATCGCTTAGACCTTAATGTACCCAGATGCAAAGTACTAGAAAAAGATCTTTGCGAAGTAGATCATCAAGCTGTAAAGTTATTCTTAACAGATAACAGTAATTTAGGTGATGAATCTGATACATTGTTACGACAGATAACAGATGAATGTAATCAAAATCTTTCGAAGCTTAGTTTACCAAGAAAATTATTTGATACATCTTTTGAAAATGAGTCAAATGAAGTTTCTGAAATAAATCTCAATGCACAAAAAGAAACAGAAGAAACCGTTGAAACTGTTATTACCTCTTTGAACAAGGAAAAATGTACTACAACAGAGGATCACACAAATGAAATATCAAAAGTGCATCAAGATGATTCTGAAGTAATTAATGAAAAAAATAAAAATCAGGTTATAGAAGCAATGAAAATATCAGAAATGTCTAACGGGATAAATAGTAAGGAAGTAACTGAAACATTTCAAAGTGATAATGATATATCGGATAACGTTATATGTTCAAATCCCAATGATTGCATCATAACACAGTATAAAAATAATGAAAAAGAAGATGAATGTTCTGAAACAAATAATGTAGCAATACCATCTCATACTATAATTAGTGATGATCAATCAGAAATTCAACTTAATTCTTCGACAAATGAATGTGAAAAGTTTGATGGTCACGTACAAGGTTTGCCTCTGCCAGAATTTGCAGATGAGACTTTACTAAATAGAAAAAAATTATCGGCGTTAGTATCCAATTCGAAAGTCACATTAAGAGGGTCGCCAGGTATGATTATTGATCTAACAGGCGATGCAAAACCAAATGTAAAAGGTGTAAATACTTTATTAGATAGATTTTTCTGCAAACACACCAACACAAAAAAGAATGATAATAATTCTGAAGTGACTGTAATACACTTACAAGATACGCAGAATGGTCCTGTTCCAATTAAAGAAGTACTCCCGTATAAAGTGCCTACTAGCACCGATAATCCTGAATTGAATAAGCCCGGATCCAAATTAATGCGTTTAAAGGAAGATCTGAAATTACAAATGACTTTAAAGCGTAACAAAGAATGGAAACAGAAAGAAATGGAGCTGCAAGCGCAGGAGAAGGAAGAATGGGATGAAGAAGAACGTGATTATGATTCAGATGAACAAGACAAAGCGGAATTGGTTTTTGAATCGAGTGGCAGTGAGGAAAGTGAACCCGAGGAGAATGACATTTACATTAAGGAGAAGAAAAGGAGTAAATGCCTATTTGCAGATGATGAAGCTGAAGTTACAGACAATGAGGATTCAAGTACAGAAGAGACATGCATTGAGGATGATACGGATCATGTAAAACAGAGTAAACAGTTCAAAAGTTTTAAATATAGAAAAGAATACATGGACGACGATGTAAGTGAGGTAGAAATCGATCAAGAAGAAGAAGAAGAAGAAAATGACGACGATGATGATGGTGAAGATGAAGACGAGAATGAAGAACCTTTCTTAGAAGAAAAAGAAGAAAGTTTAGATGCAAATATGGAGAATAGAAATAAATCTAACTTCAAAAATGATAGCAACGTTGATGTTTGTAAGAGCTTAGGGATTGCCACAGATAAAAATGATAGAAAAACGAGACAGTTAACAGAAGAGCTTCAAGATGATTCAAACATTACAAATCCAAGTTACTTACGAAGTGATAACAGTCAGTTAAATATAGTGGCAGACATAGGTGCATCTAAAGCACATTGCGAAGATAATGATTGGATAAGTGAAAATGAAAGCAATATGCCTGCTTGTCAGCAATATGCAGAAGTTGCTACGAGGAGCCAGATATGTAAGACACCTTCGACGAAAACAAGTATGCTCGATTTGGTTTCTCCTATAACGCAATTAAGCATATTGAATACCACCTTAGATTCTAATAAGAAAGATTTATCGGAAGGGACACAATGTCTAGTTGATAAACATGAATTCTTCTCCATAGAAAGCACACAGTGTGACGAATCTTCTGAACATATATACAATAGAAATAAAACTATTTTAAAAAAGAAATTGTTCGATGATATTGGAGAAACTATTGATGATGAATATCTCATGCGATTATGTTCGGGCAAATTTGAATCTACGCAAAAAATTGATCTAGGTATATCTTCGCAATCCAATATCACTGAAGTATCGCAGTTATGTCCAAGTGAATCTGAATCATGTCCTGGAAATTCTAACGTGAAATTAGTCGACGTTAAACAATCGAAAAATCTAAAAGAAAATGACAAAATGCTTCAAGATATAAGATTGATCTTAGATGAAGATTCCAATTCTGTAAATTACGGAAAAGGGATAAATAAAGTTAACGCAATGGATTCGAAGTTAAAATTAAGAGTTGCTTCCTCGGACGATGAGGATGATGAAGATTTGTTTGTAAAATCCAAGAAACGTCTGGCCAGAAGATTTAACTTGTCCGATTCGGAAGAGGAGAGTTCTCAATTCTCCGACGAAGAAAACGATGATGTGGATAATGAAGAGGCAGAGGAACAATACGTTGATTATGATTCCGAGGAAAATGAAGTAACAGTTGTACCAGAAAAGGATATAAAAAAAGTTGCAGCTAGTTTTCTGGAAGAAGAGGCAGAGTTAAGTGAAAGCGATTGGGATTCCGCCGATGAGGATGAGAAGGACTTGGATAAGTTAGAATTTGAGGAAGCTGACGATGAACACTTAGACGAACACGAGGTGAAGGATCAACTGGAAAAGATTCATATGAAACAAATGCTGGATGAAGATAAAAGGGAAGTTAGATACCTGAAAGAGTTATTATTTGAAGATGGCGATTTACATACCGATGGATCGGGACGTGAGCGTAAATTCAAATGGAGAAATATAGGTATGAGAGTCACACGATTTTTTTCTCCTATTGATTGAATGACTATTACAATTTTTTTAATATGACAGATGATTGATTATCAGAAAACATTTTCTCTTTCAACTTTCTCAGCTCTTACAAGATTTAAATTTCCAAAATATTTGATATACGATGTTCCAATATGTGTACAACTTTATAACACCGTAATCTTTTTACTAGATAAATTAGGAAGTAACATAGAGATGCCACAAATATCTGATGAAAACGATGGCTGGGTAGACGTGCAAGAAGATGAGGAAGAAGCAAAGTGGAGTAAACTCAGACACGAAAGGGACAAATTTCTTGAGGAAAGAATGGTACAAAGTTATTATGTGTAACAATGATCGCATAACATTTAAAGAATATGCTTATATAAATATATCTTATGTATTTATAGAAATCCTTAAATAATGAAATCGAGGATGAGTTATGCGACAGTCAAATTTTTAAACTCGGACTGGAAGCAGTTAAGAAAATCAAGGGTAATGAGTCACAAAAACAAGATACTTCTTTCGATAAAGTAGAATCTCCCGAGAATATGGAACCAATTATGCCACGGAATATAACAGATCTCTTGAATGGACCAAATATTGGAAAGAAATCTCAGACAATATATGTAAGATCATCAATTTACTAATTAACCAATTAATTAATGAAGATACGACATATATTGTCACATTTCATAAGCAAATAAACTGCTCATAAGCAAATAAACTGCTCATAAGCAAATAAACTCCATTTATGCTTGTTACGTGTGATTGTGTATTTTACAGAATGTTATAAAAAGACGCTCGCTCTTATCTCGAGGGGAAGAGTCGTTGGCGAGGATAGCTTCATTGGCAAAGCAAGGTGATTCTGCCTCTCATGCGGCAAGTGCAAGAAATTTTGTCTTCCCGCATATTGGTCAGGACACAGATAATACACTTAAAAAAAAGACCAGAATAACTGGAGAAGATTTAAACTCGCAAATTAAGGTATATAATTTAATTATATTATTTAAATCTTATAAAGTACACTGTTGTTGTACGCATGGTTTTCAGTACGTGAAATTTTGACGTGTGATACCTTTTTGTAGCCTGGAAAGAGAAAGATGATGTCAAATGTGTCATCAGTATCGAAAAAAAGGCGAAAATAAGCTTCATAGAAGAAAAATAATTTTATTTATATAATACGTAAAGACTGTCGTTTTTACAAGTAACATTTAATATAAATTTTATATATATAAATGAAATGACAATGAAATTAGATACCTAATTTTGTTAAGCTACTTCTAAAAGTTTGTTAGATGCATAAGAATGTTAATAATGATAATCAAGTGCTTTATTTCTTATGTATAAATATCAAATATATACAAACGACAATCAGTACAACAAAGAAGGAATGGTTCTCTTATGAAAAATACGACTTTCCTTTCTTGTTTTTTTTTTTTTTTTTTACGAAAAGATCGTTTCTTCACGATTCTGCTTTTAAAACTACTTGTCTGTTCATAGTCGCATCTTTCAAAAATGTACTTTTTATGTACTTTTTCAATTACATTCTTAAATATATAATCGTGATTATTGTATTAGTTTTTGCAAAGATATGAAGATATAGGAATATAAAATATTTATGTCAGAGATATAGAGACCGAAGATACAAGAAAGGAAAAACGAATGTTTCTATGTCTTTTTAACTTCAAATTTCATTCCTCTTTTTGAAAGATCTGTTCTATTATATTGTTGTCTTTGGTTGTGCGAGAAACAGCTACATGTCGACGATATTTAAACAATTATATTATTAATAACGTATTCAACGAACATATAAAGAATGAATATTAACAGTGATTACTTTTCTAATATCGAAAAACGCGAAATATTTGATTTCACAATTTATCGACTTTGCACACTCGGTCATATTATAAACTCATTCTTTTTCGACAATATCATTTCAGTGTCGAAAATTTGGGTTATCCGTTTGCCATCCTTTCGCATTTGGTCCAAACTGATACACCAATCTTCTACCAAGTACTGGTAGAAATATTTTGCTTTTGTAATAATACCTAAAAAGTAACATTTTTTTAAAGTAACTAATGAATATGTATTTAAATCATTTCTCAGCATATTGAAAATTTTATTATTATTGTTGTTACCTCATAGCTCTACTAAGCTTTTCATAAGTCATTTTCGTATTTCCTTTTCGTGAACCCCATCGTTTTGCTACCTCGTCGCTCTTTACGAAGCGAAATTTGGCTTGCGAGTAGTCTTCCCAGCAGATTAAACTCGGGCATGTTTCTCTGTTACGTAGTAAATCTCGAATAAATTCCCACAATTTTCCTTGACTGGCGGCTATAAGTGCAGTTAAATCGTATAATTCGATGAACATACTTTTACGTGCATTTTTCTCGATTTATACATCGAAAAATATTACGCAGTTGTATACTTACGATTCTTTTTTGTCTTCAGTACCCTTGGTCTGCCAGGCAATCTCTTGGTTGCAATTTCGATGCTATTATCTGATTCCGCATCTGAAAAAAGCGAGACAATTATAAAAGAATGGATCAGTCATCTTGTAAAGTTTTTATTATTTTTTTTAAAGCTGGATGGTTATTAAGAAATATGGTAATTATATAGAATAACCAACACAGCTCGGATTACTTTGACCTTGACATATATTGTCAAGGTCACCCTCCTGAGTGACCTACAGAAGTTTTTAGCCGGCGGTCGTTATTCGTTAAAAAGTTATTAACAAAAAAAAGTTTGGAAAATATAGCAGCTATTTTGAGTATTGGAAGGCATAAATGACTAATATATATGTCTACTAATATGAAATAGTTCACGCATACACTTTCCACGCGAAACAATGTGCCCAATTAATCAGTGTTTATTGTGTGTATTAATTTTACAGTGGATACAGTCTACGCATAATACGAAAGAAAGCATCAATTCTTTGACTGTGTTTATGTTCTGTGTTTACACTTTTCACGCGAGACAAGTTGTCACGGGTTCGTGGCGTGCTTTACGAGCTCGTTTATTGTATATCGCCACAAATATTCACACAGATAATCGACTAACTTATCTTGTTTAAAACCACCTCTATATATTAGTCATTTATGCCTTCCAATACTCACATATATTCAATATACAATTTATCAACAATTTACTGCTTTAAATGTTGTGTTTTGGTAAAGCAGCGATTTTCTCGCGAAAAAAAGTATTAATTCTCTGCATTAACAAAAAGACTTCAATTTATCAACAATTTACTGCTTTAAAAGTTGTGTTTTGATAAAGCAGCGACTTTCTCGCGAAATAAAGTATTCTCTGCTTTAAAAAAAAAAAAAAAAATACATAATATTAGTCGTTTATGCCTCTCAATACTTAAAATAATTGCTATATTTTTCAAACTTATTGTTAATAACTTTTTAATAAAAAACGACCGCCGGCTAAAAACTTCTGAAGGTCACTCAGGAGGGTAACCTTGACAACATATGTCAAGATCAAAGTAGTCCGAGCTGTGTTAGTTATTCTATGTAATTACCAGAAATATTTACCGGATATGTTGCTAGAATTGACTCGCGCGTACTCATCCTCCGATTGCAGCTGAATGGTATCAAATGTTGGCACTGTACAAAAAATTGGTCCTTTAGGCTTGCAACGTTCAACAATCATTTTACGTCATTATTTTGCATCGTAGTATTTATTTACCATTAAGTTCCGGATATCTACCATTGATATCGCGAATTAAGATATCGAGTGTATCGTAAAATTACAAAAACAATTTGATATTTGTCGAAGAACCCGTCGTTAAATTGAGTTTCAGAATTTTCGGCCATTTCTCCACATCTATAAATATATTACGTTAATAACGTGAATACGTACAGAGGTTTGATATACGTTGCGAGTGAAGAAGATCGTACAATCGGTTGCCGTACACAGGATCCTGGTTGATGAAATCTTGCCGTGTAAAAGCGATGATCTCTTTCCCAGGCACGGCGAGACTGTGCTGAATAGAACTGTAAGGTTGACCTAAGTATGACGCGGCTGACATAAGCCAATTTATTGTTTCCTCCTGACACCAGCTTCTGATAGGTTTGTCGGACCACCCTGTGCCGTCGATCTCCTGCTCGCTCTCATCACCTTCATCGAAAGGACATTTAAAGATCAGATCTGCAGGCAATTCCTGTTTCAATCCTGCTGTTTGCACGTTTAAACCCGCATAAATACGTTTCAAATGCAAAACGTTTGTTTTAGATCGATCGAACGATTAAATGCTAAAGCCGGTGCGGTTTCCCATAAATCGATGCAACACGTCAATGTTAAACAGTCCCGGGAAACCCCCACCAGCTGACTATTGCTACGTCGGCAATCGCAGACCAGTAGTGAGTAGCAGACTCGAATCTTCGTAAGTCACTATAAGCAAGCAAGAAAATGGAAAAGATAATGGATTAATCGTCTAACTTACTTCTTTTTTTCTTAATAATTTGCCAGATTTGTTGCTTATATGTGACAAAATAAGAGTTAACAGTTATTGCTTTCTTACAGTGACAAAAATACAAGTTCTTTATGATATTCCATCTCTATCGTGAAATGTTTTGCCTCGAAATGCAATAACGAGACAGGTAAAATATATACAAACTTGGAAAAAAAAATGCGAAACAAATATTCGAATATCCCAAATTTATCTTTAGTTTTTAATCGAAATAGATCGAAATTAAAACGGAGGATGATTGAAAATAAACATAAATAATAATAGGAAAATTTTTATCTCTAATTGTAAGTGAAATATTAATTCTTTTTATTCACGAAAAAAAAGATTAGATTTATATATGTGCTATGAACTGTATAAAATAATTTTGGGGTGTCTAAAATGTCTAGAAAAAAAGTGAACATATATGCGTTTTCTCGCGGTTCGAATAGCTGATCAAGAAGTAACTAAAAAAAAAAAATGTTTATTTGATTTGTCACCTATATAGTTACATCCTCTATTTTTAGTTTTGATTTGAAATGTGAAGACAAGGAAAAAGAGGATGAATTATTGCAAGGGGTATACGGTTGCGACGCCAAGTAGCATTAAAGTGAAACGATCTCATGTAAAATTATGTCTTTTAACTTTTATGCACCTTTCTCTTGAGAAGTCAATTTTTATAAATTTTTAAATATCTCTTCGAAGATATGAATGGATTGTGATTTAGTTCTCGGTTTTATGCAAGATAATAATATATCATAATTCAAAAGTGACGTGCGTGAGGAATCAATATAACAGGTAAAAACACTGACCTTGCTCACACCGTAATTAAAATTCAAAAGAAGCTTATTTAGTAAAAAGCATCGATCAAAATGCAGTCAATCATATGGAAAAACCAACAAAAGAAGATGATTCGAACACGTCGATTCAGCGATGACAAAATAAAAAGAAAACTTAAGATAGATAGTTTCACCCTATAATTTCGCAACTCGCGAATCCTCTTTCTTAATAAAAATTGATATTTTTCTTCTACTTCTTTTTTATGCATTACCGAGCGAACATTTCTTCTTGACTGGTTCGCAACCGCGGCTCGCTAAGAAATTGCTTTGTTTGACGACCTGGTCGAAAGAATCCATATCCAAGAGCAAGTGATGGTCATTCTCATCTTCGTGTAAATTAATAAACGACGGATACATCTGCAATCACAGGATTTAAAATTTAATACCACGATTTAACATGAACGGAGTGCGCCGCTCCGTCTCTATATCTAAAAAAAAGGAGAAACTCAAAAGAAAATTGAAATCGAAAAATTAGTATCTATTATCTGTCCCGCGTTATCTGTGTGTCAACAGACTGACAATTCTTAGACAAATAGGAAATTGAATTTTTCTAAATTACAAATTCAACGGATGGTGTATTCACGAGACGTCTAATATATTACGATTTATGTACACTTGGAATTGAGAAAGCGAAAGCGATTGCGATTCGCCGACATTCGAGATTAGGGCTGTAAATAGTATAAATATGATTTGACTCTAATAATAATCAAATATCTCGATAATTAATTTGTCGAACGGTCTGCTTGCTCAAGTTCGATATCCGGATTTACCGGGAAGTTGATTTTATTATCCAGACAACACCCATGTCGCAAATCGGGGACACATGACGTCTTTAAGACGTCTTATGTCCCGATTTGGGACATTGTGTTCACTGGGTAATATATGAAGAATCAAATCTACTCCAGTCTGTGAATTTGTTTGTTTGAATTGGATCTATCCGGTGCGAGAAGCAGACTAGAAATAAAACTGCTAATTGCTAAGTTTATTAGCTGAAACTTATTTAACTGCTGTCTCGACTGATTCCGAGAGAAAGAGAGAGTTTTGTACCACGCAAAATATATGGTCATAGCCAAAAGAAGCTGCCTATCGTATGTACACATAAATTGGTTGATAATTCCTTTTCCTTGTTTTTTCTTGCTTTCATTCTCTCAGTATATGTTGTATTTATTTTTGTCTATGATTGTAAAACGCATAAAGCGATCTTTTTGCATAATATACAAGATGTTCGATTTAGGTTTAGGTGTATACACAATCGGTTATTCTTTTAAATGAAGTAAACAAAAGATCCATATTATAATGGCTTGGAATTCGCGGATTTAACGGATGTTAATTAACCCAGACAGCATGCATGTCCAAAAATCGGGACGTGAGACGTCTTAAAGACATCTTTAAGACGTTTTATGTCCCGACATGCGTGCTGTCTGAGAAGATTCAGATTATCCGGATAATTCTGCCGAAAAATTGCAATCCTTTTAACCCAAGCGAACCGTATCTATATTTTGTCTACTTTGTTAGCGATAAGTTTTACAGTGTAAATTCAAGTCCTAAACAGATAATATCAAAGAAGATAATATGGAGAACTATTACGAATAATAAACGGCGGATAAACGCGATAAAAGAAATGCGAGGGGAAAAAAGCAAGCGAAACGGAGAGGAGAGAAAAGAGACGGCGCGCGATCACGCGAGCGGTTCGTGGCGCTCGCTTTTAGAAAAATACACGAGACGCCAAATTGCATTCTTATTAAACTCACCTCCGACAGGTTCCTATTATCGTAGCTATTAAACGAGTCCATTTTTGCGATAACGACACCGGCGCTCTCACCTTATAATTCCCTCATACAACAATGCCAGCAAAGAACTGTCGCTCGCTTTATTACGAAAATGTACTTGCGTAGCGGCGATAAATTGCACATGCGGAAACCGAGCGCGCGGCAATTCACGAGAAACGTGCCGACATTGCGCGTAAAGAAATCATATCGTCTCGAAAATCAATTTAAAAATTAATTTTATTCGGTAATTCGATTAAAAATACGGTATATCGTTGTGTACGTTGACGCGTAGCACTCGTTATCTCGATATCGATAGATATATATATATACAGGCGACGACGACGACGTTCCACTGTGCGTTTCTCTCATACGACTGAACACGAGGTCTTAATTCGGCTCGACGGGGAATGACGAAGAAGACGTGTGCGAGACTGCAGCGGGACGGCCGCGGTCGCGGAGCAGGTTTCAACGGGGATTTCCCGCTCCGCAGCCGCGGCCAATCACCACCGCCGCGCGCGTCGAGGCGCGATAGCTGACGCAATGATTACTTACGTCTCATTGGCGTCAATCTTTTCGAAAGCGAGCCGCGCTCTTTTTTTCACGCTGTTATTTCATTCGATCGATCGATTAAATCAAATTGAAGACAAAATGTGTTGAAATACGTCGCTTATTTGCGAGAGATAAAATTTCGGCTAGAAAGAATGTTTCGGTCGAGGCAAATCGTTTTAAATTTGACTATACCCAGACAGCACGCATGTCTGAAAGACGTTGGTAAAGACATCTTTAAGACATTTTTTAGACATATGTATCAAGGAAGTGATTTAAAATTTAAATGGAGTGCGAATAAGCGAGACGGTAATATGAAATTTGGAAACAATAATATACGTATTTTGTATATATCTCGCAGTAGACGCCTATGCCAGAGTTTATTTATAGTACGTGGTGATGCACACACGCTGTGGAATATATGTACACGTCGGTACAGCCGCGATCTTCCTTGCGACGCAGTATATTTGTTTCTTCGCACTGTTGATTTACGATTTTTTGCAAGGCGACCAGCGCTACGTAATTCGTAACACAACATAAGTTTTACGAAAATACGCGAATACCCGGTAAAGTTGTGACCGATGGACGTTCTCACATATTGTTCTCTGCAGCATATCATATATCGTTGAGTATCTATATATACAACTGCGACGTAAAGTGATCGACAAGTAATTTCATGATGTTATTAATCTATAAAAACTTATCTTTAAAAAAAAAGGTAAACAAGGTGCCAAGTACACGCGTCAATGTTATTCCTACAAAAAATAATAATATCAAAAAGTTACGCCAACTGAGGATGAAAATTTGATAGAAATTTTCTTGTATTATTAATATAAATTGAATATAATTTCTTATATTTCTTGTATCATTATATTACTTTTATTATTATTTCATCAAATATAATTCCTTACATCTCTTTTATTATTACATTATTTATTATTATTATTATTATTATTATCATATTCCTTTAATTTATTTAATGAAATACAATTCTTTATTTCTTTTATGATCTTTGGATCGACAAGCTGCTCGTACTTCCAGACGTATCGTACACATATCAAGCGAGACTATTAACGAGGAAAAACTCATTATTTTATTTAATCGGGATGATTACGTACGATTAATTGGAAATATCCAGCTTGGCTGTATAATCGATCGGCTTGGAGGAAAGATATCCACGAGAGAACACGTTGCTTACGTCTACGGATAATTACACCTGTAGTTAACACGAATCCTAGGTGGATGCGTGTGGTAGTAGTCGTGCGGACGTAAGCACTATGAATCATTTTGATGTATATTTCGCAACTCGCCAGGGAAAAGGCCGTAGGCTCCGCTTCCAAGAACACGGACGTCTTTTGCGGCGGGGACGTTCCACTCATTATCAACTCATTAAAGTATACGCGACGTTAGTAATAATAATATAGTATCAACGTAAATATAAGAGACGCGGGGTCCGAAATATACTTTCATAGATCCGATGTGCTTAAGAAGCACAACATAAAAAGAAAAACAGAAAAATGTGTATTAGATATATACACGTCGTCTCTTTTTAATAAAACTTGTTCTCCGGTCTAGAAAATCTCTCTTTACCTAATTATACTTCGTAAAAAATAATAGCGTGAAATTCAGCAAGAATTTATGCGTCTATCATTTGTATGGTGTCGTACACGTTCTGTGTTATTAATAATTATTGTTATCTCATTGTAGTTTTTCTTTCCTCATTCTTTTCTCAAATAATTAAAGATTAGGAGGTAATGTCGACATAAAGAAAACATTGATATAAAACAATTATACAGACCGGTTTTTATGGTGATACGTGTCGATGATTGTTATCGCCAAGATAATGTACGGCGGTTTCTTTTCAGGAAAAGGAACCAACGAGATATAACGGTAGAGCGGAAGCAGTGGTGTTATACTATTCGTTTATCTATCGTATTTATCGTGTATCTTGCGTATTTACAATATTATGCTATATATGTATGTATACAGTTCAGTTTCAAATTTGTTATCATTTTTACAATTGTATGCGTGTTTGCAAAAACGTAATAAATACAGATAAATGAATATATGTTCATCGAGTTGTATTAGAAAAACCAAGGACGGCCGATCGTTTGTATATATCACAAATATGAAAATATATAAATTATTTAATTCTATTAATACTTTCTCGATTTACCTATTTTTTATTTTCATCGGAAGCTATTTGCGATGCAAGATTTGCAAATTTTGCCATGTAGTCCACACTGTTTTCCCCCATGAGGCATTGCATATGCGACACAACCTGAAATATCATCATAGAACAGGCTCTAATAAAGTGTATAAAATATGACAAAATAATATTTAACATAATTCTATATATTTAAATAAAACAGAGAGCACGGAGAAATCACACAACAGGATGTTTATGTCGTAATCTTTAATTAAATTAATACTTGACATACGTTTCGGTCTGTCATTAGACCACATCTTCAGTGATAAATTAAGAAAACACAAAACGCCGATAATCAAAAGATAAAAAATAAATCACACCGAAGATGGTCTGATGACAGACCAAAACGTCAAGTATATTAATTTAATTAAAGATGACGACACAAACATCCTATTATGTCTTCTCTTTTTTATTTATTGATTTCTAATCATTTAAGCCTTGTGAGATTATTTATACATATATTTATATTTACATCGGAAGACGGACGAGTATCTTCCATAATCTGTTCACCCGCTTGACTTCTTTGTGAGCCTTTCATAGGCGATTCAAGCTGTCCTAAGAAACTGCTCAATGAAAAATCTGCAACCTAAAATTCAATTCGTTTTATCGGCATCAATTTTTCACACAAAAAATATATATTGTGTATATTTATACTGATTGTTAATTACCTCGCTATTTAACCATTGATGTTCGCCTTCTTTAAGAATTTGAGTAGCACTAGTAATAATTGAATTGGAGTTCTTTGCCTCTCCGCTAGTCTCTAAAACGTCTAAGAAAGTTTTGTCTTGAGCTTCGTTCGCATTTATCGTTGTTTTATCAGTTTGCATTTGACATAATGAAGATCCACTGGCGATCTTACTAGCGTCAGTTGTCAAATTTTCTGATGACATATTCGGCGCAGATACAATAGGCAATACCCTTTGTATAACAAGACTTTTCTGTCTTACTGTTCTACCTCGTTTACAAAAGCGTGTTTTAAACTTCTGTAAGTAGTAGATTTTCACCGTAACATCAATATCAGATATATTTTATAAAGCATAATTTAATTTTCGTACATATTGTAGTGGAAAAAAAAATGAAACAAAACTTACATCAAGTTGTGTCTTAAATGCGTCAGGTGTACCAATCTTGTGATACGTTTGTGGGATAAGAGGCCTTCTGAATGTAGATTCTTTAATAGATGGAACTCGAGACGAGATTATTGTTTCGTTACTTCCTGATGTGTTATCGTACACCTAAATCGAGATATTTTATAGCGTTAGAAAAAACTGACTTGTCTCAAAATGCAACTGAGTTCTCTACATCAAAATTAGCAAGATTTTGTCACGTCTTACCTTATTTGTACCATAATTATGTTTGGCTAATGACAATAACTTTTGTAAAACCAAACATAAATTGTTGTCACGCATGATGCCCGATGATGCTGAATCAGTTGTATATTGTTCATTAGGTAACCAATCCCACCAGTATTCAAGTACAATCTTTGATTCACGACCAAACTGTTAAACTTAGAAAATTAGAAGATATCTCTAATAAGATATCTCTAATGAGATATAAATGTATAAGCAAATTGTGATTTTACTTGTTTCGATAGTTAATAAGATTAAACGTAATGTGTATATTCTATATATACATAGTAATACGTGTAATGTCGCGCACCATTAGGAAAAGATCGCCTACAGTAATCGTATTTGCTTCTTCAACGTTCCAACCCTTTCGAATTCTATCGATAGTCTCTCTACCAGGAAATCTATTGAGTTCTGAATGACATTCTGGTGATGGTTTTTCTGTATTATTTATTATTGCTGTTTTTTCAGATATACCACTTCCTGTTTCTAAGAGATCCATGTCGCTACTGATATCTGGCATCGTACAATTTTCATCAGTGCGGTTGACGACCTTTTTATCCAATTTATATCGCTTAATGCCTTTTTTTCCTACTCCTTTTAAATATTGGACAGATCCCAACAAGTCTTCTCTTGAGCTCTTCAGACCAAGACGCTTTTCGTACGAATTCAAGTTAACGCTATTGCTAGTTAGATATTCTCCGAGATTAACCATTGGTAAAGCGATTTTGCATCCTTCTGGTGGAGCAACTCGTAATAAACAAGTATCTTTTACATCGTTAGCAACAAGATTCTCCATAGTGGGACACTATAAATAATATTTAAAAATTACTATAAAATATCCAAATCAACAAAAATTCCGATATGTACAGTTGAAAATATACACGATAACGAATGAGAAGAAAATATATACAATGACGACATGAGGAAGAGCCAAAAATGTTGCAATTAAGTAGATATAAGAATACCGTGGTATATTTTGCGAGCCGCCATCGCTGTTGCAAAAATATTAATAAACTTGAGAGGCGTCTCTGTATGGGGAGCAACGTACGAACTCTTGGATTCATGGACGCTGCTTGTACTTGCCACCATGCCATGTTGTTACGCGGTCGCAATTCTATCGTTATCCTAGACGGTAATTTAATTTCTTCCTGCCAATCTGAAATAAAACAGGCAGATTCTAAAGTTCGGTATTAATTGATTTTTATCAAAAAAATGTGTCAATACTTCTTACATGTGACTATCTATCGCAAATAATAAGACTGTGTATACACCACAGGTATATTATGGTATATAAATATATGGAACTATTTTTTTTTAATTCATCAAGATGTAGATATATTTAAAAAAAATTAATTCTATCTTCAAATATTCTGTATTACAATTAATGTAACGCAGTACATATTATTTGTTATTTCTTAAATATATTAAAAATTTAAGGTACCTTCTAACTGGTTTAACTTTCTAAGCGCTCTACATATTGGTGTTTTAATTCTCATGGTTTTTCCTCTAAGCCTGACTTGTGTAGATCCCCAATATACCAATTCGTTCAATCTCAAGTGAACTTTCTCATGAATACGAGGTAATTTTCTTCTGAGTTCACCATAATTTATTAGTCCATATAATTCCTGGGATGTTTTTTTAACATCTAAATATAAAAGAATTATATTATGTTCCGTATAAAGTCATAATGTATTTATATTAATATAAATGTTAATACAAATATTTTAACAACCTTCTGAAAATTTAAGATGTTTCGATATCTTCAGCCACGTTCTGTAATAAAAATGTCGAATTTGCTCTTTGTTTTTTATCATGACGTCCGAGAGACCTCGCTTTTTGCCTTGACTTAGAAAGTAGCTTTGCAGCGCATCAAAATCTTTGCCATATTCGTTAAGAGCTTTAAAAAAGGTATTCTTATCCTCCATAGACCATAATTCACAGGAACGTTTGAGAGATTTCACTTTAACTTCTGCTGTTTCTTCCTCTTTTGCATCACGTTTAAACGAAAAAGTTTTATTGTTTAATTTTAATATTATATATCAACAGTTAAAATATTTATTATGTAATTATATGTCAACATACCCTTTTTCTCGACGTTACTAGGATCGTTGTCAATTTTGAACTTTTTAGTACCACGGACAACTCGAGCCTGTGTATTCTTGCTATCTACTAAAGACTTTGTATCGGAACATGTTTGATTCACTTGGGAACATGCGGGAGTTGTATTGCTAAGTTCAGTATCCTCAGATTTCGTAGAATCCTCCATCACGTTGTACGTTTCTTGTAATTGTAGAAGATAGATATTCTAGAAAATAGATATTTATTAACATGGTTAAATTTAAAATTGTTGCTGAAGTAGTATATTAAATTTAGAATAATTAATTGCTACAAATAAACATTGTGAAGAAGAGAATATAATGAGAAAATATAAATAACTTGTATAATAACCAATTTGTTTACAATGCTGATCACTCTAACACTAATCTAGAAAATTCTTCTTAGCTTCCTCTTTCTTGGATATCTTGTCCCAATAGACACATAACATACCGTTTCTTTTTGTTTAACACCGACAATTGAAAGGAACTGCGAATTAACCTCTTTGATTCTTCTATCGTCAATTTTAAGGTCTTTGAGATTTCTTCGCTTCACAGTTCAATTTCCTTTTTGTAGAAACAAAATGCATATATATATATATACAAGTAAAAATCTCTTTTTTGGAATACAGAGGACAGATGAAAAAGCTCTTTCTCAACGAATCATCGTATTAGTATGACATTTACTACAACAGGTGTTATGGTAATGACTAGAGTTCCTTTGAGTCAGAGTTTTGGAGTTTGGACACCGTCCGCCATTTTCAAACTAACTATGGTACGCCTTATGGTGCGCCTTTCAAAAACGTTTATACCAGTTTAGTATCTATGCAGTTTATTAATACAAAAATGAATTTAATTTGATAGTTTATATATGTATATATAAATATTTTTGTTAATAAGTAAAAATAATAATAAGATGTAAATTTTTTGACCTAAAATAATATATTTTAAGTAAAAAATTGTCTAAACAGTTTTCAAGCTCATTAATTCACTCATTAACTCATTAACTCACTGTTTAACTCATTAATTATTCGTTTGCAATAATTAATTTGAAAAAACATTTATTTAACATTTATATTTAATATATTAATTTAATATTTCTTTTACATTAATTATTTATTTGTAATAATTATTTGAAAAAGTATTTATTAGCATTTATTTAATATTAATTTAATATTTATATTATATGAATTTTTCATTTACAATAAAAATTTTAAAAAACATTTATTTAACATTTATACGACATTAATTTAATATTTATATTTTATACATTATTATTATTTATTAATTTATTTGCAATAATAATTTGAAAAAATATTTAACGTTTATTTAACATTAATTTAAGAAAGAATTGCGTATCTTTCCGTACTCGTTTGTAACGACATGCACCACTAGGCAGTGCATAACGGAGGCCAATTCATAAGAAAATTTTAGTAGCGTTAATATAAGCAAACCCCTGGCAAAGAGCAAAATTACAATATCCGCGGGACATCATCTTCACCGATAGCACGGTACAAGGCTCGCCCAACAATGCGCAATATGATATAAATTGGCGGAGACACTAGTGAAAAAAAAAGAAAATTTTTTAAACATGTTTTTTGACATTTGACAAAAGATTTGTTCGAAAAACGTTAATTTAAATTTAAGATTTAAAAACATAATTGTTTTACATTTGAAAGATTTTTTTAATATTTGAAAAACATATAGGTACATATCTTACGTTTAAAAAACATCCTTTTATCAAAAGACACGGGGTAGTGTTCCGTGCCAATTTATATTATCGTGTCGTTGGGCGTAGTTTTGCGCCGTGCTGCCGGCAAATAAAGTATGTTTAAAAAATTATTTGCTGTATTGATTTTGGTACTACATTTATTATATAATTATTGCTCTTAAAATATGAAGTCTGAAATTTATTGCTCCTCGTTTAACTTAACAAATTCCACCATTGGAATTTGTTAAATTCAACAATGAGCACTAAATTTCAGACTTTATATTTTGAGAGAGCAATGAATTATATAATCAATTTAGTACCAAAATTAACACAGCGAATAATTTTTTAAATACTTTACTCTTGTCGTGAACCTAGCACACCGCCGCACTGTTGGTCGAATTTGTTGAGTTAAACAACGAGCAATAAATTTCAGACTACATATTTTGAGAGCAATAAATTATAAAATCAATTTAATACCAAAATCAATACGGCAAATAATTTTTTTAACATTATACTTTACTCTTATCGTGACCATACTCTTGGTTGACTTTGTTAATTTTAACAAAGAGCAATAAATTCTAAAGTAATGTGTTTGGTTAGAGAAACAGTTTAATGTTAAACTTATACGGTTTTAACTTTCTATTTTCGGTCATTTTGCTGTTATATGCGGTTACTTTATTACGGTAGCCGGTATCGGAACATTTATAAATATTCAATATTTTTGGTATCTCTTTGCATTATTTTAGAGCAAAAAATTAGCAAAAAATATGGTATACTTGTGTTTTTGTTTACGGTACTTTATACGTGTTTTTCGGAGAAGTGGGGGTGCTAGCGTAACGTGAAGGCAGCACCTCCACTTTTGATATTAAATTCCTGCGAATGGGTACTTACGAGCAATAAATTCGGGAATAGAGCAATAAATTAGCAATTTAGCACTAAATTATGCCGTATACCCAAACTTTTTTTAAGTGGTGGTAGGGGTGTTAGGTTCATAGATGTGGGACCCAGATAGTACAGATAAATCGTTATGAAATCAAAAAGGATTCACTTTTTTAAATTCTTTATGAATTCACGTAATTTGTTTGAAATAAACTCAAAAAGAATTCCTTTTTGATATTTCAAAAAGACTGCGAGCGCTATTAGAAACGCGCGCTGCCGCGACGTGACTGGCCAGTACTTACCTTTTCGTAAGCAGAAATCCTTACGCGCTAAGATAGAAGGTGAGCTTGTGAGACACTTGGCCCTAATATTTTTTATTTTAAAAATACTACTGACTTTATGGATTTACTGTACATTTTATATTCTTTTTGATGCAGAAACTTATGGATCAGAAGATTTTGGATAAATCCTTTTTGGATAAATAATGAAGAATTCTTTCTTATTCTTTGTCACATACAAAATAGTGCTTAGATAAAGCTCCATTAGAATAGTATCTAAACATAATTTCGAATTTATTGCAAATTCTTATGGAGTAGAAAAATAATTCTTTTAATATCTGAAAAAGGACTTGGAATTGGTGACATAGAAATAAATTATAAAATTATTTTTGAACTCTTAGTCTTTTTAGAGCAGAAATGGTACGGAAAAAGAATTCATTTTATAATTTGAGAATTCAAAAATAATTCTTTTTTAATTCTCTTTGCTATCTGATTTATCATCATCCGAAGTAAGCTGGAGTAATGTCATCAGGAGTAACTTGCCCATATGAATCGCAACCGCAGGATCCACGCAAGACGATCCCCTACCTATACGAGCCACTACGAGCGGAACAGAGCGGTATATGAGTTTAAACGCCCCCTCCCGTTAGCGATGGCTCGATCCCCTTTTCAAGGAGAAAGAGGCTCGGTGGCCTATGGACGCTCTGCTGGCGGGAAAGGTGTAATGGCGAGAGCGCGAAAAAAGGATCCCGTCCGACAAACCGGCAGCGGCGGGCTGCGCGGCAGTTGAGGCAGTTATTGTCCCGGTTGTCCGTCCGATCGGCGGTTAATTCGCTCGGAGAGCGCGGCGCGCGTGACGGAACGGAGCAGAACGGAGCGGAGCGAAGCGGCGCGCGGTGGCCCCGCGGTCGATGGGACGTGTGGCGGAGTGAATTATCGGTCGCGCATGGTCCGTAGGTAGAATTCGCTGTATCGCTTTTCGGTGGATCTCCGAGACGAGCGGAGAGTCCGCAGCTCCGAATCGCTCGCTCGCGCCGCCGTGGTGGTGCGCCCGACGAAGATGGCCGCCTGACGACGGTGTCGAGGGCCGAGGATCATCGTGCGCGCATCGATCGCGTGCGATCGACCTCGGGGACGTTCGGCCGCCCGCGCCGCGTCCTTGGAGGTGAGTGTACGCTCGCCGAATGTCGAGGTGGATGGACGTTGACACGTGCGTGCATGCGTATACCTAACGCCGGACGCGTTTTGTGACGTGACGCCCCGACGCGTTTTGGAAAAAACGCACATCAGAGGAATCGTCTTCGACGGATGCTGCTCGCGGTAGAACACGCGTCGTGCCATGCTCCACTCTCACGGCTCTTTCTAAAACGTTACACTCGAGGGAAATGATGCTCCTTGTTTACATGTTATTCCTGGAAATGTAGAAGGTAACGAGAGCTTTGGAGGTGATGCTGAAAAATAATAAAAACATTCGCTTAATCCTGTGCCGTCCTTTATACGTATCGTTCCGAAGGAGGATCGACAATTTTCACGGAAATTTTTAACTTGTGACAACAATAATTCTACATTGCCGCACTCTTGTCCCGCGTTAATCGAAATACCGTAGCATTAAAATTTACGTCCGAAGATTTGAAAGAGAACTGTAAAAAAAATTTGATTCGAAGTGGATTATTCGTTCGTTTAAAGGCTATAATATAAAAGTCCACTCGTTTTAGGAAGTGGAGAGCGTTTTAACGCGCCGACGTAACGGAGTATCCTGGAGTCTCGGAGGTCCGTTACCTCCGCGAAGGAGGTAAGAGAGCGAGAAGCTGGTAGAAGAAGCGCCGCGATCCTGTTTATTTCCACGATTTTTACCTGGCGCAATTGCGAGAGAGAGAGAGAGCGCGGCCAAGCTGTATAATATCAACGTGTCCGTATGCGAGCGAAGAATTGAGAATTAAGAGTTACGAAACTCTCGTCACTGCCCGCTGAGCTACGCTATAAATTGCAAACGTAAACGCGTTTGCGATATCAGACGCGCAAAAGTATCTCGAATTAATGCGAAGCGAAGGAGTTTCGGTTTCACGAGAGAAATTCGTGTAAGGATTTACGATCGCGAACCGCGATCTAATATCGAAACATATTATATTGAGAGAATTTTCTCCAGAGTGAAATTCCATAAAAGTTAGCTTGGTGTGAAACGAGGAAGCGCTTGCATCGAGGAAACTCCGTCTTACGCGTAAAGGAGGCGACAGAAAAGGAAAATATCGAGGTCGACGGGAACTGAAGAGGAACCGAGTGCGCGAGAAATCTCAGTAATATCGATTGAAATTTCACACATTTATGCGAATAACAGGCATCAGCCGATTTCTTTCGCCCTACACAAAGTTGCTTGATGAAGAAAGTACAAGGCTCGGCTACTTATTGTAGACCACTTTCATCAAAGAATCATCGACACGGGGAAAGAGAATATATTCATTACCAGAGTACTTCAATTATTTAAGTACTTAAATGGAGTGATACTCTATAGTATCAAAGTGCGTACAAATTTAACGAATTAGGAGGGTGCATTCCAACGGAATATATCTCGCGCAACGAATCAGCTGACGGGATTGGAAGCGAAGGTTCCAAGCGTCAGCGATCGGAAAGGATCGATCGACACGAGGTGGGATCGTCCGGATGGGAGTATCGCCGCCGAGGGTGGCACTTCCTTGCGGCCGCACCTTCCGCTAGAAAACCGATATAGATGGAACGCAGAGCCGACAGATATGGCGCGAGGGAGATGCGCCATTCGCGTAGTGAGGATCTGCTGGGCGCGATTTCCAGATCACCCAGTCCGTGCGTCGATCTACCGGCCACGGCGTCCGAGGATGATCTAATCGCGGCCAGTGCCCTCCGGGACTCGGGCATCTACGACGAGGCTGTCGGCAGCGCCGGTATCGCCGGCCCGTCGCGGCGCATTCTCTCGTCGTCATCCAGAACGGTGGGAGTCCCTGTCGATCCGGAGGACTCCATTCGCGACATCGTCACCGAGAACGATCTGTACAGGTCAGTGCAGAATAATTCATTTAAGGAGGGAGAGGGTACTCATATGTATATAATTTATTTCCTCCAGCTTATATCACCGAGAAGTGGACTTGGTTTACATTTTTTTCTTAACACTCTTATACCATCCATACTATACACGGAGACAATTTTTTGTTATATTTTACCGTTAAATTCACTACAAACTTGGCAACCAAGGAATTTTTGAAATATACAAGACATTTTTTACAAACAACGTAATAAAAATTACTAAGCAGATTGGTAATTTTTGAAAAATTATTGAAATTTTACTATATATTTTAGTAAAATTAACAATCATATTTTCAAACATATTTTATATTTTATTATAGTAGATATTAATATTTTTTATTATGGTAGATATTTATCAAAATAGCTCGTATAATATACTTTATAATACATGTTGTCTTACAACTACCATTGATTTTCAGGGTAAATTCTTAAGAGAAAATTCTCTCTGTGTACATACTTCCTTTATTCTTATTACAACCTATTTCTCTTTGTTCTAATGACCTCTCTCTCCCTCCAGAATCTCCTCAACACAATCGTTGCATATTTTCTTCAATATTTCTTCTTTATACCTACCTAACTTCTTAAACCAATCCTTAGTCTCATAACACTTTTCCACGTAATGACTTATACAATCCTGCCCTTGCCCGCAAATTATACATACCGTTTTCTCTTAACCAATGTTTATTTCCCTCCTCCATGTTACCACACCTCAGGCTTATCAATGCTCTTACACTATCCCCCCTATTCAACTTATCTAAATTTTTAGGAGAGAGGATACTTGTATATAGTTGAGGATACTACTATATCGAAATACTAATGTTTTAATTTTCTTTAAGCAGAATGATATCTACGTACTTTGAGCTATATAACATTTTTTATTCCTCGTTATTTTACTTATTATGTTAATAACTTTTTAATATAATTATAAAAATAAATAACAATAATATAATATAAAATAATATAAAATAAAAATAATATAATATAAAAATAATATATTATAAAAACAAGCCAAGAGACAGAAATATTGCGAATTGCACTACATTTGTATTTTGTGGAACCCGCGAGAAGGATAACATAGAATTGTTATAGAGGAATAATAATCGAGATAAGTTATAGAAATTCTCCCCGCAAAACATCTTCGATGAAGATAAGATTCTTTCTAATAGACACAGTGATGGTAATTATAAATTTCTTAGTAATTATGCGAAGATATAGATCGAATGTTTATTATCGTGTTCTTGTTACGAACGAATCTTCGTTAAAGTCGATTGGTACATACACATATGTAGGTATTCAAGGATATTTGTCACTAATGATCTTTTACTTTCACAGTTGCGTACTTTTGTCAAGTTAAATAGTTATAAGAATAGAATATTGCCGACGATTACTCAACGCTGGGACGTTGGATGGCCTTGATGCCACAAGGAAATCATTACAATCTGCTTATCTACGCAATCAAGAAACGGAAATAAGCGTCGTTTCTTTTCTAAACGATCGGGAGTGGCTTCCGGGAATCGCGGTTACTCAACGGGATAAATTAAATGAATTATTTTGATCGCTCCTTTATTATTTCGTGATGCGAAGTAGTAACGAGGACCAAAGTACCGAAAGTATTTAGTACATGGGTGTGTTCTAAAAATATATGTCAGGTTTGAAAAATAAATGTGTCTGGAATATAATAGCCTCTAATGATTATGTCATCGACTATCGAATGCGCGCCGCAGCCTTGATGCGAGCTTCGTATTTCCGGAGACCCAGGTGACTTTCGCGCTTCGCAACTCTCGTCGAGGGCCCGAGATGAGCGTCGCGGTGCCAGCCAGTTCGGTCCCAGTCTCGCTCATCGGCTGCTGGAAGAAATGTGTGCGCGCCTACGACCGGAACGCTGGCTGGGGCTGGCTCTGAAGCGTACACGAATCAGTCCAAATCGGCCCGAACGACGCTGCCCGGCCGCGTAAAAGCGAAAGTTCGCGCGGGGACCAGTTTGCTGGCGAACGTGAGCGAGCGAGCGAACGAGCAGACGAGCGAGAAGCGGAGAGGAAGCCTCTCTCGACACGCGCGGTGGCCGCGGTGAAATCGATTTCGAGCGCGAGACGTGAAATCCGAAGGCCTAAGGGCCCGAAGTGGGATAAAAGCGCGTGCACATCCGGTTTCGTTTCTCCCGCTGGATAATAATTGCCGGCAACAAATCGCGAATCTATCGCAGATGGCTGATATCGCAATGTACGGCGACGACGTGTACAACGAGAGACGCGTATCCGCGTATGTTATATATGATTTCATAGAGAGAGTCCAATAGATCTCTTTTTACATATCTTTTTTTATAAGATCGCTTATCTTGTAACGGTTCATTTTTTTTAAATATATCTTTTTGCTATCTAACGATTTGTCTTTTCTGCAGGTATGTCCTGTTCAAGCGGCATTATGACAAATATGTGGACCTCGCGGAGAAGTACAAGGAGGCGAAGAGTGTCGCTTATTACCTGGAGGAGCGCTATCACGAGATCAAGGTATGTGAAAGCGTTCTTTTTGTCTCACGAAAAATCTTACCGCATAACTTAATTTAACATTTTGCGGACAATTTGATACAACGTTAAATTTTTTCTACTTACTGTGTATTTTATATTTATAAATATACATTACAAGTGTCCTAGAATTAGTGATACAAGCGGGAAGGGAATGATTCTGCATGAAAAAATAAGTCGAAAGTATAAAATAAAATTTTTTTATACGAGATTTTGTTTTTTTTAGAAAAAAATATAGATATTATATTGTATTTTTTTCTGATTTATCGAATTTTATTAATACCAATCATACCAATTTATTATAATGAATAGCATTCACTCCTCCGCTGCTTTTGTACTATTTTATAACATACAAAGGAAAATTGCACCGGGCTTTCCCACGTTAAATCACGATAGCAGGCTCATTGTTAGAACAGCATGATACGCCTATTCTCACGGTACATTTTGTTACTATTGTTGAAATAATTTGATGGGTTCTCGCGCAATTTTATTTGCGTATTCTTACCGTCCTTACAAACCTACTTTAATATCAATTTTAAATGTATTACCGTCTCTTTCATTTAATTTTACTCTTTTTTTAATTCAATTGTACAATGAGATCGGTTTCTTAGCGCTTTAGGCACTTTGTGTGTTATTTTATGATAGACGATGAAAGTTACATTTCATTTTTCCACAATGAAAAATAATAACAGTTACGATAATACAGCGTCTTATCTGCTGGTTGCGAAATAATTGATTCATAAATTAGAAATCTTTTTAATTTACCGCCAAGTTTCTTTTGCTTAACCCTTAAATGCCACATCTCTCAAGAATCTGTAAATGACCAATGGGGTCTAAAAGACCCCAGCATGAAAAATGTTTCCTTACTTATTGATTTTTTGATATTTAGTTATGAAAATTATTTTCAATGTTGTTCAAGGTTTAGAAAAGAGAATAAAATGCTTATATTGTTAACATTTCAATTTCAACATAGTATAAAAAATTAAGTAAACTGAGTATTGCTAAGTGTACAACCGGGTAGGTCAATCACTCAACTATCATCAATGGGAGCGTGAACTCAATTTTTGGGGAGAACATTTGAAAATATATCATTGTAAAGGATCTGGGGTCCGCTGGACACCGGCATTTAAGGGTTAATTTAAAAAATGTTAATTAACTGATTTTTGTTACAAGGAAGAGTATAAGTGAAATTCTGTTATTAATCAGTGTCACGCATGATGGAGACATTTGCGAATTTAGCGGAATCCTTTTAAGATAAAATGCTGTGCGAAATAACTCATTGCTCAAGAGTTTTGCTCTCTTAGTTTCTCGATAGAAATAATGAGACAACCTCGCAAATTAGTTAGCCAACGTAGCCAAATTAGTCACGTTTTCCATCTTTTAATTCGCGAAAAGAAAACGTGAGACAGTATAAGACTCCTGAACATCCGACGGAGCCAAATGAGAATCGTGCAGTTCTCTGTACCTTGTAATCAAACGCGGAAGACAAATCGCATTCTATATAAGCGTTAATGTGATTTGTGTCGCGACGATAATTATCGAGATGCATCTACAGTTCTTCCGCGATTTCTTAGCGTACCATGATGTTATCTCGCCGTTTGATTGTGAGTCAGTCTGGCGCAGTGAAATCGAGTCTCCTTTCTTATTCGCGTTACCTGCGAATTGTGTTTTCGTGAAACCGGAAGAACATCCGCGATGAGAAGAGCCATACGTGAGAAAAGAATCGATAAAAAAATTCACTTTTTCCGTGAGAGATTCTTTTAGCGAGTTTATCTTATATTATTGCGCCTCCTATATCTTGATGTATGACTTATTGATATTTTGTTTATTGTTTCTGGCATTCGCGAAATCTTTGATTGATATCAATCGTTAAGAATTTTAATTTCTGTTTTGTCCTATACAGAGTTGTATATCTTGCGAATTAAAATGTATTGTTTTTAACACGTATTCTGTTCTCATAATTCTTCAAATGCAAGAATACCTTGTTCTCTTATTTGTTTAAGGCTTGTGATAGATTTAAAGTTTTTCTTAAAAACAAGATCTTGTTCGAAAAAAATTTATTCTATTATTTCGACTTATTTGGAGCCATATAGAATCGCTCCCTTCTCACCTTCTGGTTTCAAATATAATATCCGAAGTAAAATCTTAAATCTGTATATTGTAGAATTGTTTGAAAAATTTAAAGAGGAGAGCGAGGTATCTAATCTTGATCTACTAGCGATATGATAAAAGCAATCGTAATATATTCGACTTAAAAAGAGATCGCAAACGAAAATAGCAGTTAGCTTATCTACTTTTATTTCACTTTTTCGATCGCGTAGCACATCCTTTGACTCGTTTTCCGCTTCAACTTTTCATTACAGGACTTTCTTTGGGATTGACATTCTTCACCTCATTTCCCAGATAAGGTTTCCCCGTGAGATCAAATAAGGCGTGATTCGAAAAAAAAATATTGCGGTTTGACACACGAGCTCCGACGTCGATGCCTCGTAATTTTTCTCGGTAACATCCTGTTTTCCCAGTGCTCTACACTTCCACACCTCGTTTATTTAATTGCATGAAAGTTTGTACAGTTATAGTTACATACAAGTTGTGGCGCATCGAACAGTTCATACGAATCAATAAAAAACAAGATACATATAGTTTAAGAGTGAAGGATCAATACAATTTTTGGAAATGCTCTCTAAAGCCAACGAAACACAATAAACAATATAATTTTTATTGTGTGATTATGTAGCCTTATCGCTAGCCGTTTTCTTTCATTCTATTACAATTCTGTTGGTTAATTTTCTCTGATAACTTAGGAATTTTAATGAGGATAAAAACTGACTGATAATTAATTTGCGACTTTGATTTCGAAGCAAGATTTATTGATACTCGATTTTATGAATATTTGTTGCACAAGTCTCTTTGACCTTAAAGTGCTCTTTTATTATTACCTGGGGGGGAATTCACAACCCAAAATTTTGTACACCAATGCCGATTTTTGGCATTGCTGTAAAACACTGCCGACATTTTCGTACACTGCCGACAATGCTTAGTCAATACCTACAATGCCGTCAATCCTATATATAAATAATATAAAATTAAGGCAATGCCATGCAATTATAAACACTGTCGCGTACTGCCCATTATTATACGTCAATGCCACCTCTATCAAGTTAACCCCCCCACTATTGCAAAAAAATCCGCACTTATTAAAAAATTTAGTGCTATTTATGTGCTGTTGCTCTAGTCCGGATTTTGTTGCTCAAGCCGTTTAGCAGGAAACGGCGATCGAAATGGGGGGAGGGGGCAGCTTGTCGTCATAATAAAAAACCTATATAGAGTGCTCAAATCCAAAAAACAAATACACCAGAATTTGTTGCTTTTTTGTTGCTCCAAGATAGCGTAAAAACATTTTTGAAATATAACGTTTTTTTAGAAAATACGGTAGGGGAGACCGGGGCTAACTCGACACCGGGGCAAACTTGACACTAGGCTTTTTGGCAATTTAAATCTATCGTAGAAACTTGCCTTTCCTATTGTAAATGCGTCTTTATGTGCCAGTATTATCAACGGAATTTGGTAACATTCTGAGTTATAGTGTAATTTTTAACGCGACATAAGCGTTTTTGATAGTGAAAAGTAATTTTTTTGATCTCTCGAAAATGGTCTACTCTTTCATCGAGCTTTCGGGCAAAACTAAGCGACGTACAGCAAAATTTTCTTAAGCAATTTTGTACCTGAAGGAACGCTCTTTAAATGTGTACCATTAAATTTGTTTGAAAATTTTAATTAATTGTTGAAAATTGCCTTTAAAAAAATTGTGTCGAGTTAGCCCCGGTCTCCCCTACGTAAGTATATCCGAATACTTAACAGACAGCACTATATTGACTACATCTTAAACAACATTATATTTCCAAAATATTTTTACACTATCTTAAAGCAACAAAATAGTAACAAATTCTGGTATAAACATTTATTCGATTTGAGCACTTTATATATTTTTTTTCGCATGGTGAGGGGTCAGCTTGACACAGAGATTCTAGCCCCACCACATACTAAAAAACACATATAGAGTGCTCAAATTTAAAAAAACAATACACCAAAATTTGTTGCTTTAAGATAGCGTAAACAAATTTTCAAAATATAAGGTTCTATAAACAATGCCACTAATAAATACTGCATCTTCGACCTTTATCTACAACTTCGATGGCTAAAAACTAAGTAAAAGAATTTGTTGCTTGGCTCTTTTTGGTTTTAAAGTATTCTATGGACCGTGCCCTATTAGAATATGCAACTTACGATTTTGTTGCTCGCCCCTAACTGCAAGTAAACAAATTATTTATCTCCGCGTCGACCGTTATCTGCGACTTTGATGGCTAAAAACTAAGTAAAGGAATCTGTTGATCGGCTCTTTTTGGTCTTAAAACTATAAAGTAAAAGAATCTTTTACTTATTGTTAGTTTTTAGCCATCACAGTCGTAGATAACGAGATAACGGCCGACGCGGAAATAAATAATTTGTTTATTTGCAGTTAGGGGCGAGCAACAAAATCGTAAGTTGCATATTCTGATAGGGCACGGTCCATAGAATATTTTAAGACAAAAAAGAGCTAAGCAACAAGTTCTTTTACTTAGTTTTTAGCCATCGAAGTTGTAGATAACGGTCGACGCGGAGATAAATAATTTGTTTATTTGCAGTTAGGGGTGAGCAACAAAATCGTAAGTTGCATATTCTGGTAGGGCACGTTCCATAGAATATTTAAATAACAAAAAGACCCGAGCAACAAATTCCTTTACTTAGTTTTTAGCCATCGAAGTCGTAGATAACGATCGACGAGGAGATAAATAATTTGTTTATTTGCAGTTAGGGGCGAGCAACAAAATCGTAAGTTGCATATTTTGATAGGGCACGGTCCATAGAATATTTTAAGACCAAAAAGAGCTGAGCAACAAGTTTTTTTACTTAGTTTTTAGCCATCAAAGTCGTAGATAACGGTCGAAGATGCAGTATTTATTAGTGGCATTGTTTACAGAACCTTATATTTCAAAAACTTGTTTACGCTATCTTAAAGCAACAAAAAAGCAACAAATTTTGGTGTATTGTTTTTTTTTTTTATTTGAGCACTCTATGAGTTTTTTAGTATGTGGTGGGGCTAGAATCTGTGTCAAGCTGGCCTCCCATGCAAAAAAAAAATATATAGAGTGCTCAAATCGAATAAACGTTTATACCAGAATTTGTTGCTATTTTGTTGCTTTAAGATAGCGTAAAAACATTTTGGAAATATAACGTTGTTTAAGATGTAGTCAACATAGTGCTATCTATTAGGTATTCGGATATATGTATTTTCTAAAAAAACGTAGGGGGCGTCCACTGCCGTACTGCCGAGTCAATGCCGGATAAAATTTGGACACTGCCTTAGCAATGCTATGCAATACCTCCTGCACTGCCACTGCCACATGTCATTATTACCACTCCCCAACCATTGACGACAATGCCGTCAATATTATAGGCCACTGCTTACTTTTTTCAGTCCACTGCCGAAATTTTGTACACCAATGCCGGCTGTGAATTTCCCCCCATTATTACCTATATTTTGCCTTTTAACACTCAGCTGTGTGTTTCATACCGACAAATAAAACTTAAAAAGGTTTATAATTGCTTCGCAAGCAGTTATTATATTAAATATAATCATTTTGCTATAATCGGTCTACGTGTTTCCTTTCTGGCATTTCTGGCTTGCCATCTTCCCGTTCCTCGTTGTAAGAAAACTTGCCAGGAGATCGAGCCTGGCATTCTCGGTGCGCCATAGCTGGCGTTCATCAACCTCTCCAGTCTCGCTTTACCTACCTAGTTGACCTACAATGTGGCTGACTAGCCACCGCTAGACAGAACTAAAAGCGGCAGGGGGGGAAGTGCTGAAGTGCTGAGTGTGCGTCATCGGTCGGTGTCACGCAATTGCGTCAAGTCGAGCCAGACGCGGGTCATCGACGTCAACGCACATCGATGTCGATTATACAAAATCCTTGAATAAAATCGTCCGAAGCACTTCTGGAACGGCATATTTAACGGAAAGGCCAGCTTGAATTTTTATAAAACGGAAATTGCCTAACAGATCTAAAATTTTGAAATGATATCGATACAAAGCTTATATAGACATTTACATATAGTCGCGCCAGAAATTCTGTTCCTAAGAAAAATATAAGGAGGAGTCCGGGAGACTTGACTATATATAGAGGAGAATTGAACCACTTCAAATATCTCGTTTTAAGTTTGCGCCAAGCGCGCAATTGTTAAGTTGCTGTATTATATTATATTGTTGTATTATATAAATACGCGCTTGGCGCAAAATTTGAACGTGATATTTGAAGTGGTTCAACTCTCCTCTATGGTCAAGTCTCCCGGACTCCCTCTATTTATATTTTATAACTAAAATAAAAAGCAGCAAGAAATGTACACCTATTGTTATTGAATTGACCAATTATAGTACAGAAATAATCATAACTATTATAAAAATGTCCTTTTCACTTCATAAACCTCAAATGGTCGGTTTTCTCACCAGATCAGTTTTTAAAGCTTCAATATTTCACTGAAGGCTTAGAACAAGTCTTTTTATTTAAATTTTAGAACGTTTCAATATAACTTTTATTTTAGAATTTTAAAATGTTGTTTTTTGAAGTCACGTTGAAGTTATTTTGCATTTTTATGTTTTAATCTCTTTTTTGCGTATTTAGGAAATCAAAAAATCTTTAAAAATAATTAAACTATTAGGAACCTGGAACCTCCCTCATTCCGTATAGAGCGTCGTACACGGAATGAGGGAGGTTCCAGGCTCGAACTCTGGCTGAGGTAATATTTTTCGCAATAAATTTAATAATTTAATTTAATTGAAATTATTAAAAAATGAGATGCTTATGTTTATAAGTATCAAAGATTATTAACGTCTTGACGATTAAGGGACCAAAACCAATGGTCGAATCGTCACGATGATTATTTGCCAATTGGAGTCGGATGAAATGAAAGTCTAATTGTTTATTATATTGTTGGCGATTTACGAATGTACTTTAGGTATAATTAAACTATATAGATATGTTCTTCTCTAAAAAGATCGGACATGAAAGAATTCTTAAGCTACATATATCAGAGATGATATTACTTTCAAAGATATTTCTTAGAGATTTTAGCGCATTATCTACGTCTTATCGACGCTATTCTAAAGTTTCCATTTTTTTTACATAAAAGAATCATCTCACGTGAAATACTTTTTTTAAAGGTCGAGCGAGACAGGTTGGAGGAAGCTCGAAGGCATTTGGAAAGACGACTGGAAGGCTGCGAGACGGAACTTCGTGGCAAGGAGGACGAGCTCTTCTTGCAGCTGGAGAGAAGTTTGCGGCTGGAAGAAGAAATCGAACGGGCTAAGGCCGAGAGGGATAGCTATATGGAGGCTCAGCATCGCCTAGAACAACAACGGGAATCGGCTTTTCGTCGCTTACGGATGCAGCTCGAGCAGAACGAAGTCACAAGGCGGGATCTCGAGAGAGCGCGTCAAGATGTTATTCGCCAAGCCACTATTATCCGTATCGAAAGAGACACCTTGGAAAGAGAGGTGAGTGTTTAAATTGAGTAATGTCTTGCGTCATTTTATCTCGGAAAAAAA